AGTCAGAATAATTCAAGTTGGGGGAGGAACTCACTCATTGCACAGTCACTCGTTAACCTTCCTCCCATCCTTCAAATACATAACCTTATATATATTCCACAAACTTATATTTACCACCTCAAAACCTTACACATATAGACCTCCTCCTAGGCATGAGACTAAACTGTTTACAACACACAAAACAAAATTATAATATATTAGTCTAAATTCTTCAAAATCAGTCAGATGTAAAATTTGTCAACTTGGGGAAGACTCACATTCTTTTATACTTCACTCTTTTTTACCATCCTCATTCATATACCTCTTATTTATCTTTCTATTTCTTCTTGTTGTTTGTTCTTCTTTTTTTTACTTTCATCATCACCATCCCTCCATTAATACTCATTAGCTTATAATAATCACTCAAAAAAAAAAAAAAAAAATAAAAAAAAAAAACCAATAAAACCATCCTCTCATATTCTGTCCTTTCTTTCTTTCTTTCTTGCTTTTTTTTCATCCTTTTCTCATTTCATTCCCAATTCCCATATTGATAAATATTTCAATTCTTACCCCAGTCACTCTTTTAATCCCCATCCTTTCTTTTTTTTGTTTTTTCTTAGTTTCTCATCTTACTCACTTAACTCACTGGACTCAATTTCTTGAAGGTTGAGGGCAACCTGCTAAGTTGGGGGAGGGGTGTTTCATTTCTATTGCCCACTATTTCTCACTATTTAAAAATTTTCAGTTTTTATTTTTTTATCTTTTTTTTACATCTAAAAAAGTGCTTGATCTACTTAACTAGCCTCCTCAAAGACAACAGGGAATGCTTAAAAGGACCTCGGACGCCCATCGAAATTGGATTTAGTCAACCTGGAAGCGATCAAAGTCGGTATCGGCAATGGAAGTGGCAACAGATTCGGCCTTGGTTACGTCTTCGGGATCGATAAGTATTAGAGACTGACAGCCGACAGCTTGGGCGGAGCATACGGGCTGGATTAATCACGGCTATCAGTTGCATAGCCTCTACGACGACAGTGGAAGAATAGTGATAGCGGGGAGCACAAAGCTATCAGTTGCACCGCCTCGATCGCACAAACGGAATAAGAAAGCGCACTCACCTTGCCCGATATTTGCAGTGGTCAATCCTAGACTCAAAGGCTTTGGTCGAATAACTCTAGCAGCCCCGTCTTGAATATCACAGAAAGAATAAAGAAATTCAACTCACCTCGTCCGAAGATATTGGGACCGACGATCCTAGTCAAAACGGGCAGTGGATCTATTTAACTGATTCGAAGTAAGGAAATCTTGCGGCGGTGTCGGCGTTGGTATTGGTATCGGATACGTTTTTGGCATCGGCGAGGATGTTTGGAAATCAGGACGAGCATTCTTCCTGTTCAGCGTAGTGGTAGATGTCACAAACTATCAGTACATGGATGATTGGCTGCTACAGCATGAGAAAAGAATAAAGAAATTCAACTCACCTCGTCCGAGGAAACCGGGACGGTCAATCTTATTCAAAACAAACCGCAATCGGATTCGAACTCGATGCGAAGATTTGAAGCGAGGGACCTGGGGAGTGGTTGATGACTTGAGTTGAGTGAATACCTATCTCCAGGGCCCAGGGTACTTGAACTCCGGACCGGAACGACGCACACGGCTCGGAGCGCGAGCGCCTCGACGCACGGGCTCCGGGATGGGTATCGGGACCCCGAAAACCCCAAATTGAACTCGAGCACTCTAAACTAGGATTAAGTAATCTACCGCGGCTGCTGCGACTACTCGACGTCACCTGCTGCGGACTGCGGACTGCGCACATCCTCTCAAAAAAAAAAAAAAAAAATGCTGAAACTTACCCCCCTCAAAAATTTCCAAGAAAGGGGGGGTTTGTGGCCCATTTTTTTCTGAGTAAGAAGAGCTGAAAACACCCTAACCCCAGGTGAAGGTAAGAACAACTTTATGCAGACCCCACAAAGGATGATGCAACTCCTCTAAATACCCATTCAGCCACTTTTCTGGGTGGAATTGTCTGGGGACAGACAATAAGTTGGGGGAGGATGTGGTAGCTGAATGTGTAAAAATTCAAAGTTTTTTTATTATTCTTTTATCCCTTCTTTTTTCCTCTACATACACTCACAAATCACTCAATATGGCTCAAGAAATGGATTCTACACTCAATTTCACCCTTGGTCACCAACTGGAGGCATCACTGGGACCCCAACTGGGATTTGGGAGGTTTACACCCTCTGGACTTCTCACACCACTCACTTACACACCTTCAACAACATGTCAACACTCATTCACCACCAACCATCACAAATTACTATCTCACCTTATACATGGCACATTGCGGAAACTACCTCTTCTCCCCCGC